TCAATATAATATGTCTTTTTTTTATCATACCGTATTATATTCGACGTGCAATTTTTAAAACAGTTACCAGAATTCAAACAACATTATTTTTAAAGAAAACTAATTTCAGAGGCTGGAAAAAAACGTTCGTCCCCCTGTAGAGTGTAAAAATATTGACGTTTATACAATGAACTGAATGCGCATTGTGTTATTCGATTTGTTCAAAATAAATCGTCGCCCTTCGTCTATATTATATTATTTAGTTTTCTTTTTCGATTTGTACATTTTTCACTAAAATCCTTTTGACTACATTACTATCCTTAGCCAGCCAGCGTCGGCGAATCTTTTTTATAATAATAATAATAATAATAATAATAATAATAATATAAGAAAAGTATATATGACGTATTATTGTATATCGAATCGAAAACGTTTCCTTGCGAGACGATGGTCGTCGTCTACCGAGAGGATTTCACTCCACTCGAGATATACACACCGCCGTCGGGTCTATTTTTTTTCACATAAAATAACCAATTTGGTGACGATAATATTATATACCATTGTATATCAAATACCACGTCTTGGTACTTACCAACTAACCACGTACAAAATTGTGTTCCGGCGTCCGTTTCGTATATCAACGACGAACTAATTATTGATGCGGCCTGCACGGCGCTACAACTACGCGTGTTTAAATATGAAAATAACATTCACAAAGAAAATCCAAGCGAAACAAAATGAATTAGGTACGAAATGTATTATGTTTACTAGTTTATTTGAAAAAAAAATGTTTTGCATAATTATACTTAGCCGCCGAAACAAAATATGAGCGTGTCGTCGACTCGTGGCTGTTACAATATTACGTATAATATTATGAGTAGTTACCTAAAGACTAAAACGTTCTAAACAATTACTACCATAATAGGGTTAAGTGTACTTCTATAGTAGTTATTGGAAGCAAGTAATTTTGCTTAAAATAATGTTTAATTATACATTTTAGGGATATTTTCTTTCAATTATACGGTTACACTGATACTGTTTTAGCATCAATCTTTGTGTTATCGTATTATTATTTATTTGACTATTCGCAATTCGATGTTGTAATAGAGCAAGTAAGGTACCAATAACTGGCGAAATTAAATTCTTAAGGTGCCAATAATTGTACACTTTACCCTACCTATATCAGTGGTTCTCAAGGGGAGCGATAACGCTCCCTGGTGGTTGTTAGAGGAGAACTGTGGAGCAGTAACTTGATTTGGGGGAGAGGGGGTTTAAATATGTTTTGGGCAAAAGAGGAATTATGTTGATGTGTGTTCACATATAACATTGTATCTACATGGTGCGAGTAATACATACTTGATAATTCACATAATAACTTTCATTAACTTATAGGTAATATGTTGAGCAATGTACAATATAACTTATCTTTGACTGTTTTAAAATGTATTATCTTTATTATTTTGGCAATTGTATTATGTTTTATACTTTTATGTTATACTTTACTACCTTAACCGACCTTTTAGCACGCTGATTGATACGATCCGAGCATGGTGTATTGGTTTTTTTTAACGTTGTTACTCTTTCCAATTTAATTAAATAATATTCATGCCGAAGCGCTATCATTGGATATCGTCTTCAATTACGCCTATCTTTACCTATTATGCACACACCACCACATAATCGACAATTTGATTGTTGATTATCTAAAAATAAATTTAAAAAAAAAAATTAAATAACATTCAATAGGTTAAATCGGGTTAGCCCATACCATAAGTGAAGATAATACTATTATTTTTTTATTCAACAATCAAAAATCTTGTCTACAAAAACAAATAAGCCTAGCAATGTTTTTTTTAAACAAACTTATAAAGTATATAAAATTATCAATGAATAACATTATTAAGTTTTTTCAAATGTATAGTTTAATTAATTGACTAAAACTATAATTTGAAAAAATATGAAATATAAAAAATAAATGAAAACATGAATAAATAAATCATGTAAATTTCTTTTAAATTTTACAAATCATCAACTCGCTTCCTATCTTTCTTCACAAACCCTTAATTATATAATTATCCACATAGGGGGGGGGGGGGGGGTGGTAACTTAATAAAGATTGAGAAACACTGACCTATATTACAAGTGTACCTATACAACAGTCGTTATTGTAGTCTGCCGACCATAGAAATGACATGCGTTAATTTCGAGTCTATTAGGTATAGAAAATAAATCCATAGAGACTTAATTATTGTTGTTTGTTTTAGACGAAGATAAATCAATAATATTGAATACTGAATTCCAATTGATTTAGATCATACTAAACGTAGGTAAATAAAAATCACCAAATAAAAAACAATAATATTATTACTCTAAACTGTATTGTATTTTATTGTGCTTCTAACCGTCACGATTCCGTCCACCTACTCCTCCTCATACACATTTACACGTTATTCGTTCCGGATAAAACCGCACCGTATTATTATTAATAGACGTTGAAAACAAAAGTTTTTAGTTGGCTAATTTCATATTGGAAAAAAAAAAACGTTTTCGGTCTCGACGCGAAAGGCGAATCTCGTTATGTTTTCTTGGTATATAACTGCGTTGTGTCATAAGCAGATATTATATCATATTATCATACTACACATTATAACAGTGTATAATACGTAAATATGTAATATGCATTGATATTGTATAATATTATACAGGTACCTACACCCGACCGACGACGGAGGAAATTGCGCAACACAATAAAATCCTGTCGCCGGGGCTCTGCGGGGTTCCGTCGCGTATTGTACAGGGTGGGTGATCTCCGGCGGGTGTGCCGACGATAATGCTCTTCCAGTCCGCGAAATCCTCCAGACGGAGGTGCTCTGCTTGCGACCCCGGTGCGCGTCTTCGTTGTCGGTATTGCTAGCTGATACCTACCACAAGCGCGCGCATGCTCCGGGGGGGGGGGGATTCGCGAGGCGATTAACCTACTGGAAGGTCCGCCGGGCGCGACCCGATTTAATTAAAACTTACACCGCACCGGCGAAACGAAAACCAAGTCGCGAACAGTGATTTTATTCCCACATGACGTGTGCAGTACGACGATAATAATATTATTATATTTATTATTCGTCGTCGCCGCCGTCTACTGCATACGGGTAACCGTTTTAATATTATATGACTTGGATAATCATATTCAAATTATTATTATTATTATCACATAAAATCGGTCGTCGCGCCGTCGAGGAACTGACGAAAATTCGTACAACAGCAAATATCGATTTCGGCGACTAATATTCAACACATCATACAATACGTGTACACGCAGCCGCGAAATATTACACACACGGCCGGGGACTGTTTTCGATACGGTTTATTTTGCGTTCAATCGGGGTTTCGGGTAGTTTTTTTTTTCGTTTATTACTCACCGGAACTTCTTGGTGCTCTTCACCACTTATTTATCTCCCTTTTTCAATTTCGTTTATCGACGCCAGTCGAACCTCGTCGTTAAATATTTTCTTAAAAAAAATCATCCAAGATCGTTATAGTCCCGTCTAACACGTCGTATATCGTTTACGTCATGGGTATTACACACGTTTTTGACACGAAATTATCGTCGATGAACATACCATTATACTAATATACCCGGTAGTTAAGTCTTAAACCTAGGACGTTAGGAGAATTTCGTGTTTAGGGAACGAAAACTTGTGGAAAATGTGTCCGTTTGGTTTTAATTTTAGCTGGTGTCTGAATTGTATCGCCGTGGTCGAAAGTTTCATAGTTTAGCATTAAGCTTGAGTATTTTTCTCTGCGCTTTCGAATCTATAGATGTACAGTTCATTATATGGTATGTGGTGTATTCCTCTGAGAACGGATGGCGATCGGTGAAAAATTGTGGCAGAGAAAATCGACCGAAATACGCACTCATTCAATGTGCGGACATAATTAGTATTGTAACCAAACATAAAACCCTATTTCTTTTCGTTCGAGAGAGCAATTTTGATTTAAACATTTTTCATTGGGTTCCTTGAAGTAAATATTAAAAATAAAAACGTGGTAATAAGGGAGAAACTATTTACAACAAGAACAAAATGTTACAGAAATGTTAAATTAAAAATAAGATTTTAACCAGTAACGCAGCACGTCAGGTTATTATGTTACACTTTTATTTAAAATTCAAAATTTATATTAAATTAATAATATTACGCAATACTGTCATACTTACTTTATATATTATATTAATAATACTGAATACAATTTCAGTCATTAATATTTTTTGTTTATTAAATTAATTCATTTATCTTAGTTATAAAAAAAAGTCAACTTATTTCCATAAAATCATTTATAAAAACAAATATTGAACCTATACAAGTATAAAAATATAATATATTTTTACTAATCAATTACAAACGTAGAATGAGTTTCTACAGGATTCAATATTTTAAAATATATAGTAATTATCTGAACAAAAAGAAATTTGTGTTTACCAAAAGCTCATTACTTATTTATGAGTAATGAATTGTCAAACGTCAAACACATTCATTTTACATAAATCTTATGTATAAATTCATAAATTTATCGAGTAATAATTAATTGGTATTAAATAATTTTCAACTTAAAAATAAAATCACTCTTGATATATTTTTATGCATTTGCAAATGGAAAGTAAAAAAACTATGTACAATTTTTATCCAAATAAATTTGTTTAATCTTCAAAAAAGTTACCGTTCTAATCAATTATTGATAAACATATATAAAAATTCACACTATACAATTTTTGAATCTAAAATTACTTAAGTATAATCAGTAACTAATTTTATCTAGGCAAACAAATTCAATATATCATGTACAAATTAATTTTGCTAATATGTCATAAAACACGTTACCAATCAATCCACTGGCTTTTATGCAATATAAAATAATATAATATAAATGTATGACATAATAATATTATAATATTAAAAGACTTAATTAATTTAATGTCGATGAAACAATAATTATATTATAACATTAAGGCACCCGGTGCTGATGTAATTTTGTCCACAAAAATACGCTTCAAGGGAATATTGATCTTCTTCTGTAGAATCGAACAAATTTGATAACATTTTTTAACTTTAAAGCTGAACTCTATTTTCAATATTTTAATCTCAAACTTTTTAATATGTCTTCAAAAATAATAATTTTAAGTTTTTTTTTTACAAATTATATAGTACCATTGTTTGAAATAAAATAAAAATAGGAGTTCAATGCAGCCTGTAGGAAGTCTTCTTCTTCAGATAAAAAAATAGTTATCAAAATCCGTTAATTCTTCAAGGCCTGATAATAATTCCTGTGAAGTCGTTTTTTCGATAAAATACACCTATCAACCCCACCTCCTCTAAATAGGTATCGGCTAATAGATAAGTGAAAAAGTATTAAAATTTAGGGGCAACTGAAACGTAAAATATAATTTTCAATTTTATAAAATTGTGAACAATTTGAAAAAACGGCATTGGGCCTCATTAAGCTTAAAGACAATTAATACATCCTACACAGCATTTCGGGAGATGATAATATTTTTGAAATATTTTAGAAATATTTTTAAAATAGAATCATCGTTTGGTAGATTGTTTTTAAAATCTCCTGAAATATTGTTGAAATATCATCATCTAGAAATTCTATATAGGATTGATGCTTAGTTGTAGGAATATGCAAAAAAAACTTCGTTGAATAATATGATTATAAAAATAATAATACTTTTAGGTATATTGGTGAATGGTAACTATACTAATGAACAGTTTAATTAAATCATGACAAACTGAGGGACGACATAATGTCCATATAAGGTATTTTACAGTATTATACATTTATACTTGTTATTAGGTATGAACCAACACATTAATTTAACATGTGTAATATGTGCTAACACAAATTGGCTGGATCAAACGGTTATTCAATAAATTATTAATGTATAAATATAAATAAAAACGTACAAAAATATGAAACGTTTTATAGGCACAATAATCATACGTAAAGGTAAGTAGTTTACTTTTTTTATCACAGTTATGAATAATTGCGAACAGTTGAGTATCTTTGACGCCTGGAACACTGGAACTCTGGATCTGGTTCCGGAAGTTCAGGAAATGCACCACCACAACGAGGTCAAGATAACACACAAGACGGCGACTGTGTGTTTTGGTGAACTACTTCTAGCAAACCTCAGCTGCGTCTCGTTGAATATTCTAGAGTTATCTTTAAAAAAAAATTACAATTTTTGCATTTTTCATCTGTAAAATATTACACAAAGTTAATGATCCCTTTTGTGCGGGATGAGAAGGACATTGACAGCCACTTGAATTATTTTACGGGGACACTTGTCTATGTACCACTATCGAATGTATCCCTTAATAAGGCACTTGACCTTATTGATTGCTACTGTTTGGAAAAACCACGATATTGTAGCGTTGATAGGCGCCCCCTAGTGGAGTTAGTTCCCGTTCAGGAACGAACTGTTTGCGTTTTTTCGACATTAAAATAAATAATTACCTACTAAATATTTTTATTCAACAATATTAATTATACTATAAATTCAAATACGGTTAACTTAGATTAAATATGCATTTACATAAATGTTATATATATTTTAATCCATGCGGTAAATTGAAATATGGTTTTTTCTTTTAAATTATGTTAATAGTTAAATCAAACGCTTATTAGTTATGTCTATTAGCTTGGTGTATAAAATGGTGTTATAAAAATGATTGTGTTTCAAATTAAAATCAGTTAAAAACTTAAAACCTTATTATCTTGATCAAATATATATTTTGATTTTTGTTTTTCATGACGCATAACACTCGACATTATACGAAATTATAAACTTAAAACTGAACGTTTAATGTTATATATTTAGTTCAAAACTTCATACAATCTTTACAGGAAACCTTGTTTGAGCCCATTTATGAAGCACATGTTTCAAAAATGAACAATTGTGGAACTAGTAGTACTTCACGTGCACACCGCAGACTGAGACATAAATATTTGAAAGTGTGAGCCACTATAATATTTGTAATGATTGTGAGTTGTAACAGAAAGCAATAAAAATATTTTAATTATCTTCTTGGACTCATGAAAACTCTGGACTTTTCCAGCTTTGTTTGAATTGTTAATATTAATATTTTATTTTTCATCATCATCATCTGTTACTTAGTGTTATTATTTATAAAGATATAAATTGTACATAAACTATTTTTAAAAGATTAATTACCAGGTAGAAGATTAAAGAGTAGTAAAATTGGCATATAAGTCACCCAAAATATGTATGCCTAAACAGGATAGCATTATAATAAAAATACACTTCTTAGGGAACAATATCATATTCGTTTTAGTCATAAAAGAGAATTATTAGTATATTTGCAGTCTAGTCACTTCAGTTTGACTTCCCAACAGAGATAAAGTTATTATTCTGTGAAAAACCATTTTGAAAAAACTTACATGATATTGCCAGAAAAAAAATAGTTCAAAGTACATATGAATAAGTCAAACGAATAAGCCTACAAAAAAAAAACCAAAAAATGACATCTCAAACCAGACTCGAAGTCAAGAGTCTCCACGGCAGCAGGTGCTTCAGAAATGCTATTGTAACAAGTAACTACGTTTCTTTATTTTAATTTTGAACTACTTTTTAGATTGCATTGAATATTACATATTTACTAAGGTCTTCCTTTGTATTTATCTCAAAGCAAATCACTAAATAACGGGACAACCAACACAAAAAAACTAAACGAATTTATAAAATCATCAGCAACGATATAAGTATAATAGAGGTATATATTATAATATAATACACAATATATTACATTTCTTAGAATTGAATTGCAACATTTAAATATTTTAAACTATCCATTTCAATTTTACTCCATAAGATTAATTACCATATACATACTCGTATATATTATATTCAAAGTATAATATTATAATTATTTTCCATTCAAAGAACATGCGTTATTTCAAAAAAAAATGTTCATAATATTCCTGCAGGCATTTCTGATAACTAGAATAATAAGTGTAATTAATCTTACAAATTAAAAATCATGCAATTTTCATTTGACAAATAAAACAACTTAAAGAAAAATCTATTTTTGTAATTTTAATTATTTCTCGGTAGATTTCAGGAATAGTCAAAACGTTTAGAGTAAATGTCACTGATATACAGAACACTAATCAGTAAAAATGTCAAATCTCTAGAATTATTAAAAATATGTGAACAAATATCCTCGAACTCTGGCCTCAGTGTCAGTACTAAGTCCTTGGTTTTAAAATATTTTTGAAAAATTATCCTGTTTTTAAATACATTAGCTATGATATTAATTTAAGTTATGAAACATTTACAACATTATGTGCTTTCTGACTAAAAAGTGAAGACACGATAAATTAAAACAAAAATACTAATTTACAACACAATTTCCTAATTGTTGGAATTATGAATTCTCAAACTTATAAAAATAAAAGTATCTAATAAAATTAACTAAAATGTACATTTGGAGTAATCAGATGATGTTTCTACAAAAAAAAAACAATAATGTAAATCAGCTCAAAAAAATGCATGATATTAAAATTACAGTTTATCATATTATGTTATTTATTCCAGTTTATTAGGTCATGTAATTTTTTTATGGCATGGCTAATTATTATTATTATTATTTCTTTAGTAAATTAAACAATTTTAAAATCCTATAATCAATATTTGTTTAATAAGCGTAGTAGAATAATATAATAATTTATTATATTAGTAGTAGGTAGTTTATTCCTTAGACTTGATTTGATTACATAATTTACAAATACACCATACTTTATCAGGCAACGTGTAATAACACTTATAAAATAATATTCGTACTTGGAATATGAAATTGTTGCTTGGTAACTTTTTTTTAGAAGAAGAAGAATAATAGTTTATAATTTCATCAATTTTTTAAAGGGCTCTCCACACGTATAATCGGCTAAGCTTCGTCTTCGTCGGTTCTTCGAATCTTTTTCCGCTCCACCATAGCTATTAAATTGCCACATGCCTTTTTTCCTACGCATCGTCGTTTATCTTGCTTTCGAGTTTTTATTTTTTAATACTAACACAACGAATTGTATTTCCTGATATGAATTTTTTTGCATATTGTTCTATAAAAAACTTTTGCTGATTTTTTAAATTTAGAACCATAAAATATACGACAACTTTTTTGTATCCACCAATCGTTCGACAGAAACAATATTTAAAAGACTGATCCCCATATTTGTAATCTATTTTACAAGAAACAACTACTATATTTCAAATAATATAACTAACTTAATAAAATTACATTTCTAATAAACTTAATGACGAGACAATTGATGAATACGTATTTTGTAATGTTTTCTTCAGTTTAGGACTTTCGAATAATTCAATGATTTTTAACTATACAAACGTGTTCAAAAAACACATATGATTTTAGAATAAAATACACTTAAATCAGTTACAGTTTCTATATTTTCAAACAATATTTCAACTGTAAAAGTTGAACAATATGTACTAAATATATAAATGCAACATAGTATTGTTTCGCGTGTCACGAGATAATTATTATTATTAAAATAAAATAAAAAATAATAAAAAATAATATCATGTCTACAAGGAATGAGAATAATATTAATTTTCAAACAAAACAAACGTAGGAATTTTATACCTACGTATATTACAATAAAATAATATTTACTATAAAAACTATACATAATGACATCAGCTTAAATATATTTATATATATATATATATATAATATAGGTACATATAATATTATATAACGATGTGTAAAATTCAGTCTCTTTAAGAAAGTCGACCCAACGCTGAACTCGTACATTCAAAGTTCGGAATAAATACTAAAGGCAGTACAAGGGCCTTTTGAATCCTAATAACAATTATTTGTTTTTTCATATTTGTATAGGTATACCGATGTATACAAAAACAAGCCTCCGGCACGGCGGCGTTGCAGTCGGTCGATAACTCGGTAGGTCCAGTAGTTGTATTCGGCACTTGACGTGTAGGTAAGGTATTACACCGTGTCCAAAACATTCAACAAACAATATAATAAATCGATGCGGTCCCCCGCACAGTATCACATTTTCAAAATACCTGCGTGGCCACTATCTTCTTCTGTTAACACAATCCAATACCGGTGGTTTAAAATTTGTTGGTGGTCATTTTTAAAAAAAAATTGCATTTTTTTTTTTGTTCAAAGCGGTATATTTAGATACTTTTTCTAACCAGCATACCAGCATACCGATATCCATAATGCGAGCGAATCGTTCAGTACCGAACAACTTGTTTACACAGCTACATGTAATAATATAATAATATACGATATAATGAGTGTATAATATTATTATTGTTTAAGGTTCAAATAAAAGTATAAACTTCTTTTTTAAAAAAGGCTTACTAAAAAATAAATTTTAAAAGCGCGTGCAGTAAACGGACGTCAATTACATAATATTATAGTATATAGCTACAACACAATAATATTATTCGCACAATATCAAAATAATAATATAGTAATAAAAACCAAAATAGCAATCAATTGAAACGCGAGTGTCATGCGCTGAAAAACCCAGCTGGTAAAATTTGTACAAAAAACCGATACTACAGCTGTTTGCGTTCCTTTAGTTGTAGCAGCAAAAATAATATCCAATCTTACGTGTTAATATAATACATAATATACACCCATTGAATTCGTGCACCTTTCGCTATAGAATTACTATAGTATTTAGTCACATTCCATTTATAAGTTCACCAGCAAGTTTAAACGGTTGTATAATAAAAATGAAAATATATGTATACATGTGCATTTAAACATTGTATACCTTTAATTTTGTACAAAACACAACACTGCATTTTATAACACCAAACCATGCATTTGAGCTAGCATACAATAATGGATACGCAAGTATCCGTAAAAAAAAAAATAAGCAAATCCGTAAAATAAATAATAACCGTTCACAGAAATAAATTTTAAAAAAGACTGTCACCCAAGTGCGCAAATACATTAATCGATTACATTTAATGATTACAATATTTCCGGTGCCATGAAAAGGGACATTATAACAATATTTACAATGTGAAAATAGTTGCCATTGGTCAATAAAATTTGACGCGTTCAACTATCCTGATCAAACACCGGGAGCATTTTGAAATTCATAATAATATCGCCATGCATCCAAAACAATTTACTAGAATAACTTATGTGTGGATGCGACTCGTGTGGATAATAGACTCGTGTGGATAATATAATGCACACGGTCCACCGCACCAGCCCGACGCCAAAGATGCACCTTTATGCGAGTGCATTTTTTATCGTTCGGTTAAGGTATTATCGCAACGGGAGCGGTGCGTTCGACACCGAGCGTTTGATTACAGCGACAGGTGTATTTAAAAAAGTCGATTATCCGGAATGTTCCGCATAGGCACATCCCAAGCTCGCACAGACACAGCAGATTTGAATAGGTAAAATTTGTTTTTATTTGCTTCTTTTGCAGGCAATCAAACACTCGGTGTAAATAAATAAAAATGAAAAGGAAACACACCGACAGCAATAATTACTATTATTATACCTAACGCCATTGTAGCCCATTTTTCGTATAGCGTTAAACAAAAAATTCTCACCTGCGTCCAATATCAGATCACCGACATCCGTGTTTTGATTGCCCTTGTGATCCCGTCTCACTTCCATCCACGTTGGTCTGAGTATGCTGGGCGCTGCGGTCACTTCTTGCCGATGTCCCTTATTTTCCGCCCTACAGCCAAACCACCAATAGCCAGCATTGCGAGGGAAAGGTGGATCTGCAGTATCGACCTGGAAAATCGAAACGAACGATTAATAATGTTTGTCGAAGTTTAAAAAAATAATTAAATTAGTAATTTTATTGAACTGACTGCAAACGTCCTGTCGTTGAACCTGTAATAGTTCTCGTCTTTGAAAAAATATGTATAGCCATTGGTGTAATGCAAAACCGCGTCTATGTTATCCGGTATACCATCCCAGTTGCTGATGGGCTTCGGGTACGTGCTCTTTACAGGGGGCTTTTGCATCGGGTCGAATTTCCAGAACTTTGAGCCTAAAATAATTTATATTTATCATATTATATAATATAAATAACAAATACTGTGGGTTTTTTTTATTATTTGTATTTTAAATGTATTGTCAAGCCTTTAATATTTAAAAAAAATTTTTTATTCACTTTTTGATTTATGACCGATTTCAAACATTTAGTATAAAGAAAAATAAGTACAAATTATTACACTTCCAATTAATCATAATCAGAACTTAGTATCGATTGGTTTTTAAACTCAGAGAAGTGCGTGAGAATAAAACATAATTCAAAAAAATACTTGCATTAAAATATAGTTATCTCAAAAGTAATAAACTATAAGAGTAAAACAGTAATGCAAGTTGATAAACAAAATAGATAAAAATTCATGAAAGTAATTGAATTCTCATTCAAAAATTATAAAAATTAAATTTATACAATATAGTACCTTACTTCTATTGATTTTATAATAACAACAATAAATTAGGTGAGCTTTTCATTTGAATACAAAAGTTAATGAAAAAGACAAGGAAACACGCTCAGCTATATGGTAGGTTTTGAGTACACCTGGTCATTGAGTACGTCACTGTAATTGATCTTTTAAATGTTGATAAGACTTTGTAGTCATACAAAAAACAATTGTGAGCGAAGGAGACTGGCAGATCAGCATTTACTTCTAAGGATAGTTTGTGTTATATTATATTCATATTATTTATATTATTTTCTTAATTTTGTAGTTTAGACACAAATTATAAATATTATAAAATTAAAAAGGTATTGAATAGCTTTGCGGTATGAAAATAGCTTTAAATAAATCCTCACATTTTGAAAATTGTATTTTGTATAAAAACGAAAAATTTAAGTTCCTGCGATTAATATTTAATGAATTTACACCAGAATGATTAAAATCATTGTTAAACTAATATTCATTTCTCACTTCACTCGTAATCTAAAATTACGAAAGTTACAAATAATTTTGAAACAAAAAAGTAAACTAACGTAGATTGTTAACTATTTACTTTAGAACAACCATTTCATGTAACTAAACATTTTATGATTGATTTATATTAACTACTCAGCTTACAATTCTGTCACTGAGTACATGAAAACTTGTCCAATGAGCGTTCAAGGCAAACAGTTTAAATACAATAATGTTGTTGATAGCAATAATAATATACAAATACCTATATAAATATACCAACATTTTGCTATAATTTTACAAAAATTAAGTTAAATTATCAATTAAGTTACAATATTTGTTTTTAATTGTACTAGAAAATCATACCAACACAAATAATTACAAGAATATAAGTTTGTTAATTTTTTGTTGCTAACGTTATCAAATATAAGCAAAAGACTATTGTCTTATTGAAAAACAATGTGTAGCTATTTAAGTATATTACGTATATGGTATAAGTATATTATGTCTCAATATTGTTTGTGCTTATTTTCTTTGTGTTATAAAATATTTGTTTAGTAACTACTTACCGTCCAACAGAAGAAATGTCAAATATCAAGTTTTAAAAAACTCAGTCGTTGTCGTTATTGCTTAGTTAAAATAACGTTATCGGGTTAGTTAATATGAAACACACATACTATTAGGTGAGATCGTATTATTAGTAGATAAAAATATGTCACTGGTAATTAAATTCGTTTGTATCTGCAGACGACTGCAAGTGAACGAAATGATGTTAAACATTTTCCGTGTCGCACAAAACCAACCTTTGAAAAAGTAAATCTTTCCGTTCCCGCTCCAAACAAGAGCGGCGTCAACATTATCCGGGATACCGGCAAAACCGTCGGCTATGTCTTTTGGATATCCGTCGTCCATCGTGGTGTCAGTGTACTTCCAATACTTTGTGCCTTTGAAGAAGTAAGTTTTGCCGTTTTTATACGTAAACGCGGCGTCTATGTTTCCCGGCAGGCCGGACCACGTGCCCGCGATGGACTTGGGAAATCCTTGAGCGAGTCCGTCGTCCGTCAACTTCCAGTAGTAATCGCCTGTACGGAGGAGAAAGCGGTTTCGTCATAGTTTTAAAAAAAATAATATTCGCGTCAAAAAATAGCGGAACACTCGACGACCGACTCACCTTTAAACACAAAAGTTTCGCCGGCGGCCGAATTGAACAAAGCGTTCACTTTAGTGTCCGTGCACAATTCAGCGTCGCTGCCCTCTGTGCCGGGCGGTTCTTGCGTTGTTGTCTTTTTACCGGATCCCTGGCTAGTGCTGTCGTCGTCGTTGTCTGATCCTTCTCCCGAGCTGCTAGCGCCGTACAGAGCCTGGAAAAGTGGACGGCAAAAAAACATGTGTTGTTAATCGCATCGTCCAGTGTAGAACTGTATAAGATGGGTAATATTGTTTTCGTGCTCTACCTGGATGGCTTCTACGTCGTCGCTGTCCAAATTAAATGACGGATTATAACCTCTATAAAATGGCGCCATTAACGCGGACCGGACGTCTGAGTGAGACAATCCTAATGAGTGGCCGAATTCATGAGCTGCTACTTGGAACAAGTTAGTGCCTGTAAAATATAAAGTACGCTAGAACGTCACTATCTGCAGTATAAGGGTATCTTATATCTGGTAGGTAATTTAATAACAATATTTGCATACGAAAAAATTGATTAATTTTTCAATAATTAATATTGTTACACAATACGTATAGTAATAGAAGTGAGTATCGATATTATGAGGTAGTAATGACTTGTGTTTGGGAAAATATGTGTAAAAGACTAAATAGGTATTTTTTTTTCATAGTTTAGTTTACATTAGTTACAGGAAATATTATTTTCATTTTTGATCAACCTGTGTTGTCAACAATGGTTGTCAACTTTATACTGAGGATACTATACGTATTCTATTATACATTTCAATGTCAATACTTTATAAAAATCTTCATTCATCTATTTTTTTTTAATTAAGACCATTTTTTTACTTTGAAAATATCCTTTTAAAAATGTTTCAAAAGCTGTATCACTTTACAAAATCTTTAGTTAAAACAGAAAGCTTTCAAAGGTGATTTTTAAAAGTAAAATAGTTATATTCAAAGTGAAGGGAAGAAAGCTATTTATTTTACAATATTGTTTTTTTTTCGAAAACACTTTTAGGAATAATTAATTTTAGTAATTAATAATACGTCAGTAACTTAACTTGTCCTCACTAGTCGATTTGATATTGGATTTGACGAACGGGTTGTTTATACAATATTTTTAATAATTTTAAAATAATGTGAATATATAGTAATTAAATTAGAGGTCAATGTCCTATAAAATCGAAATCAAATAAATTTAAAATCAAAAACCTAAATATTCTGTACAGCACCAGAAATTAAATAATTAACAGTTGTAAAAATATATGTTAATACACTAATTTCACTGCATCGTTATTTTGAAAAAATGAGTATTGTCATATAATATAAATTTAAATTTGAATAAAATGTCAGTTCTATATTCTAACTATTTATTTAATACATCACAAAGATAGAAAAGTCAATACAAACTGTTCAAAAAAAAATAGTTAGGTAAATGTTAAAATAAATAAATAAATATTATGCTTGCATATTTATATTTTTAGTTTAATATCAAATGAAAGTTCTCATAAAAGATTTGGTTTTTTTCAAGTTCCTTATGTATGAATTATCAAAACGAGTTGACAAGATGAGGGTCCAACTATTTATTGCTTATTATACACTTGTATTATATTTTAGAAATAAAAAGTTTTTTTTTTTATTTAGATGTTTAAATAGAATCTTAAATATTGAAATTAAAAACTATAACTATAGATAACTTAAGACAATCTTAATAATACAATCTTCAAATAATTGTATTTAAATTGTTATCTTACCTTTGAATGAACCTATTGACCATTTTTCTGAGTCATCGAAATGAGCATCACCCCCGTAAACTGGAAAGAAAGCATGTGCCAAAGTTCCACCAGGTCCGTCGAATGGATCACCATCGCCATGTTCTCCTTTTTCAAATCTGATTTCGATGTGTACCTATTAATAGTGTTGAAAACCATATTTAATAACAATTTTAATTGAAAAATTATACTTTCCAAAATAAGACTACTTTTTTTACGAGTACAGTTAAAATACGATCCAGTGAAACTTCGGTACCTCAAAGTCTCAATAAGGGACCGAAAAAAAATTCGACAAAACGCAACTTTGAGTTACAGAGGTATTTCAAAAAATAAATAATATTTTAAATAAAAATTATGTTAACTGTTTGAGGAATACGTTTTATTTTGAATAGGTACACATTATTTTCTATGGAAGTCTTTTTTATTTTAGTTTTTGTTTGTTACTAAAAGTACTGTCAATAAAACTACCTAAAATAAGCTAAACGCCAATTCGATATCAAAGTTGTTACGGCAATACAGAGTTGTATTAGCCTCATACTTTATCACCTGCAGGATATTAGAACATTGTATACTTTATCTAATATGCCACACATTTCAGTTAGTAAACCATAATTTAATTAGCGGTAGGTACCGGATAATGACTTCGACATACAGAGATATTTTACGTATTATGTAAATTCGACATTCCAAAATAAATGAACACACAAGTCCAATACTGAATGATCGGGACTAAAAAAAAAAAAACAGACATACAGAAACTTTGAGATACCCGTATTCCACTGTACGATAATTATTGGTTTATTTATTTTTTTGAAATTTAAAACTAATGCATAATTCAAAATTATTTCGTATCGTAAATTAATCATTCCAAAACAGTGATGTATATTAATAGTTAATACTGTACATATAATTTATTCCAAACTTACTTGTCCGGATTTTTTGTGAGTAAACGTCAACGGTGTAACATCAGACCATACGTCGAATGCTTTCCGGATTTCCGAGTCCGTTTCCGACTTACCCAGCAGTTTAGGATACTTGGATATTTTATACGTCAAGTCTTTCACCCTCCACCGGCTACCTATAAATATATATATATTAATATATATGTATATACGGTATACAAAGTATTTTGAATAATATATTACACATGTGTAATGTGTATATAATATAAATACGTTGGTGTGTGACACACGGCACCGAATAATTAGAAAAGATTAATCGGCTAGGTCGAAACATGCATAATTATTATGAGCACAGCTTATATAACCAACAATTCTTGTGTGACAAATATAATATTGTCTCATTTCCTTGATCCTACCGGTGTTTCCGAGTTCTACATTATTTATATTGTTCTATACATAAACAGCATATAACATTTTTAAAACAACACAATATATTATTGTTATTATTATTATTGTTGTTGTTATTATTATTATTATTATTATTATTATTATTATTATTATTATTATTATTATTATCATCATAGTGAGAAATATAAAACACGCGTAGGACATAAGTACGGCAAATCTGTCGGATTTTTTACGGGAATTAGTTTCATTTCAATGTATTTACTCATACAAGCGTAAAAATGTTTAATATTGTTTAAATGATTTTTTCAGCCTTATATACAAAAATCAAAATTCAATTGGTCATGGCATTACACGATAATTGCACGTGTACGACGATAGGAAATAATATCAATGGACGTTCATGACGAAATATGTAACGATTGTATTGTTTTTTATTTATTTATTTATTTTCGTTTTTATTTAGTCTAAGGAAGGCCGTTACAAATAAGCTATAGCTTAAACGGAAATCTTATTTAATTGATAAAGTATTAGTACCATATTAACATTATTTGCTTAAATGCAATAAACATACTATTAACTATACTATATTATTATACTGATCGTTATACAAATTTAATATTAAGTTTTCACTACTTCCTATTTATATTATGCTTATATGTCATCACCTGAATAATATTATGTTAATTACCACCTACCTACAATATATAGCATCGACCAACAATCATTGTTGTTTTAATATATAATTGTATTATTCTAATATTATGACAATAAACACAGTACTATTCAGAAAATAAACAAAATAATACATATTATTTAAGAAAAAAATACCATTATTTTTATTTTTTATTTTATCATTATAAAGAATGAAAAAAATTAACAACTCACACAAAATATAAAAACAAAGGTCAAAGAATAACACCTATATTTCAAATTATGAACACTGAATATCGTTGTTTTATTAAATACAATTCCATTTATACGAAATATTATAATAAAGTTTTTACAATGGCAAATCATTTTTCGAAAATCGTAATAATAAACCTCCTAGCATTCATTTAATACCTAAATATTTTAGTGTTACCTTTTTTATTAATTAATTTAATATAACAAAAATGTTATTCGGGGTCACTTTAGTCGTAAACGTAGAATACACAATGATATTATTGCCCAGGAAAGTTACAATGGCATGCATGCATAACAACTATTTTATTGTTGTTTCGGTTTTGGCCAGAGGATACTCGACAATAATGATGTTTGATCGGACCGGATATTCAAACATCCGAGTTTGTAATTTGGTGCAAAAGGGCGAATTTCGACAGAACCATACTAGGTACATACAAACAATTTACATAATAATAATATTATATACGTCTTTCTGTGCACATACACGGCAACTGTGTTAATATATCAGTCATACTTATGGGATATTTGGAGCATTTTTAATTAAGACACTTATGCGAGTATAATTTAGTTGGATAACTTATTATGTACCCACACATTCGTCCGGAATACGCACGACATAAATTAATGTAATGACTTTATTCTCGTATTAGGCGGTCTATACCAAACAGAATATTATATTCGGCAACAATTTATACAATTTCGATCGAATAACATAATAAATTAGATATTATTTTCTTTTTATTGTTCAATAATATTGTTATATTATATATTATTATACCTACTGCAATTGTCTGAGTTATTATTTAACTGCGGGTATTATATAAGAAGTTTCTAATAGGTATATAGGTACCTACATGCGAAATATGACCCAGAACATAGGTACACATTGAATAAGTCACTACCAGATTTGAGGGACGGTTTACACACACGCACAGAAATAAATATTGCGTTATCTACCGGCACTGTCCGTGTATGTATATATGTATATATTTATATATACATATATATATATATATATAAAGAATATGATGAATGTGTGCGTCCTTTGTCCAGGACCGACAAGACAAGTGGAAAATTGGTCGCATTGAACTTGACAAAATAGCGTAAAAGAGATTTAACGCGTACCTACGCGTTATAAAAGAACAGGTAGGTAACAATAATATATGGACCACAACGTTTAAGAAATACTCTTGTGTTCGCGTGTGTGCGTGTGTGTGTGTGTGTGTGTGTGTGTGTGTGTGTGTGTGAGTGTGTTTGCGTGCGCGCACTCGTGGAGGGAGAGATCATTTTTTACCACCGACAACAATTACAACGCGTTTAGGTATAATGGCATGTATTATAGCAGTGTATGACTAAGTGCAATTATTTATTTTTCTATTGTAGAAAAAAATATGCGGAAATTTGTATATGTGATGTCATCGAAACAATATTTTCAATCGTGTATTTCACGTCAAAATAATAGATAGATACGGTACACGCATAATATTGTGATGGAACTCATGCAGAATACCTGTTGCAAAATAACATTATTGGCACAAAAACCGAGTACCGTGTTGAATACAGAAGCTGTATATTTTGTGCTCGATCGTAATTGTTATTGTTTCGTTATTTCAGAATAACTTGAAATATATTTCATTTTTATATACCTACCTTAGTAATATACATATATATATATATAATATAAGTGGGTATATTTATATTTCAAATATTATCGTATATATTTTATATCAGTTTAAACTATTGCTTAAGACAATATAAAACACCTAACCTGGTGTCCCAAATAAAAAGATATTTTTGTTTTTCTATTTGTTTATGCTCTACTTTGTTTCCATTTTCAACTTTATGTTTATGTTTTTGTGTACAAAATACAAGTATAAAAATAAAACCATACATATAAAATATATGGTTTTTATTAGATTTTTTTCTCGGAGAACACTGGTTTTGAACAAGGCATTCATTTTTTATTCCAATTTTTACTTTTGGTTAACGTTAATAAAATATGAGTTACTTTAATATAATAAAAATACTAAAATAATATAATATTATTGAAATTATTGTTTGTATCAAAATTATAAGAAATATTTCTAATTTTAATTTAGCTAGTTTTTAAATTAAATAAAAACACCAAATTTTTATTGAATAAAAATATTAATTGTATAGTTGAAAATATAATAATTGGTACAACGGTTTTTATATTTAAATATTGCTCATATTATACAAATCAACTGAACAACTTAATAATATTATATTAAATACATGAACACATAACAAATTTATTTAAATTTGAAAACTATATTTTATTTTAATTATAAAATAGAAAATCAAGGCTATAACAACAGTTTTGAAATTGTAGATGGAATATTATGTTACGCAGAAGTACTAACTTTATTAGTAAAATAATATACATAGAGCTAGAATTTTTATACCTTTGCAGTTCACTAATATATTTTCAATGAATAATAACATTTTTTTATCCATCGGTACATTATAGCATTGTACTTGAAATGTTATTCTCATTTTTATTTAATAGGAAAACTGTAATTTGTATTATGATTTTATATGATCAAAATAACAAATTCATTCCATGCGTTGAATATAAAATAATTTCCGTGTCACTCATACAATAGAGTACATTATAGTATATTTATCTTTAAAGCTATTATTGTTTAAATATTATAATTTAAGGATAAAATGAACTCATTGTATTTTAAATTAAACGTGGGTCCTTATGACTCTTATAATTAGTGTTAAATTTTATATTTACCTTGTAGAGCGTATCTCCTAGATCTAGAGTCTGTGGCAAATCCAACTTTATCTCTGACACCACATCTAGGCATACTCATATAGTGTAGCGTATCGTCATCCAAGTGACCTTCAAAAATAAAAACAACGTGATTGATTAATAAATAACTAAAAACTCATGTGTCAACCTGTAATTAATATTCAAATATTATGGACACAATCGACATAAGGAAATATCGATCATATATAAATAAATACGATTTTAAATAGGTTTGATTTTATAATTTTAACCTTAAATATTATGCTACAGTTGAATATTATATAACAATTTTTTTTTAAATATAAGAACTTTAAATAATAATTCAAAATATGATATATTAATATTTATATATATTTTCATCAAAAATATATGCAAATATTATAATAGAGCTTTTCTTGTTAATTTTTTTTTTTGTTTTCAATATTAATTTTTCACTTTACAGTTATGTGCGAAGTTATATGAACACCGCTTAATACTTGATCTGATCTTCTACATAAGATAAATTAATGCATTAATACTTTTGGCATATTTTCTACTATTTGGTTGGAAGCATCTTAAAAATTCAACTTTTTTATCTTCACATAATATATAAATACGTATTAAACCAATGATATAAATAACGGATTCAATCCACAGATATGGGTCATAAGTAAGACTAAATTAATTAAATGAATAACAATTTTTAGTATTATGTGTAGAATATAGAAAATGCTCAACAAATTAATGGTCGAAAATGTATTGGATATGCCTGATTGTTAATAATATTATGGATCAAATTGCTCGAACTATTTTTCAAATAATATAAAATTAGTCGAATAAATTATCATCAATCTGACTGTAGATCCCTTGATTAGATATCTTTAAATGAAATACCACGTGTACATTTTAAATTTATGTTTTACTTGAATATTATATCATTGATTTTCCGGGATACAAAAACGTTGAACGCAAATATATGTCCGTTATGATTAACTCTAGATTTGAAATGTAATATTGAAGCAATTTATTTTCATCATCTTTTGATTTTTATTAGTTATTCAATATTTAAAAGTTAGCACTTGTATACAAATATTATATAATATTAATGTAACTGTTTTATGGCATTCAACTACTATATATCTCATAAGTATGGAATAATTAAATACTAGTGACGCATTTGGGAATTCAACATGAAAACATTCATGACTCAAAAGTATCAAAATATTGAATAAAATCCCAACTATATGCATGTAGATATCTAGTAATAATATGTACGCGTTTCGCGTAAAAACCTGCCGAGCAAGTTTATTTGACCGAGTTTTTTTTTTGCCCAAGGTCCACCGGAAAAAAATCATCTTATATATTTTTGTTCATACGGATATCTAATGAAAAAATATATTCATAGGTATTATGGTGCACGATTAAATCACCATGACAGTGGCGTGTTAAGGAAGGTCATTAATCTCTATGCTCACGCCCTTGGATCGCGATATGAATCATTGAATCATCTCATCGATTTACATTTGTAATTGTATACTATATTATTTATTACAAACGGTTTCTTTAATGAACAATATTTATGTATAAGGTATTACATTAACGTATGACATATAATATTATATATCATCATAAAAAAAAATTTATTCAAAAAAATATAAATACTGTATGCCAATATTTAACGCACTAACCATCATTCTGCAACGTAAATTCACTTTTCAGGTTCAGTGACATTGATACGATTTCTTTAATGATATTCGGATGAGTCAGGTAAAATGACGCACTTACCTGTCAGATTTAGACCAACGAATGATTGAAACTCCATTAACGCCCGGGCCATTGTTTCCTCAGACATGATATGACCTGAATTCGGATTTTTCATCGAAGGGCTCAAGTAGCCAAATTGAGATAAATACATCTGTAAAATAATTTGCACTACTGAGTTTAAATTCGAACACCACTATATTAGTTATAAATCTTCATTTTGAATAGGTACCTAATAACAAAAAAATCTACCCATCTACAAGTTTTGAGTTCTTTAAAATGTCTGTACTTATTGTACCTATATATTTATAAAATCATTATAAAACAAAGCCGCATAGAACGAATAGAAAAAAATTAAAATTTGAATAACATAATTTGCCTAAATTATTATTTTTAAGCTAAATAAATTTGCCACTTTATGTTTTAAATAAATTAAAATCGATTTCATATTGCAACAAGGCATGTTTTTGGATAGGTTTTCATCATCAAAACTTAATTAATTCGGCGTTGATAAACACACAGTACAAAAAAATTAATTTACTTTAAAACTGAAAGTCTTAAGTGTTTATTTTGATAACTAAAAATAATTATTTTACTCACAACACGAGTAGGAATTAGATTATTGTTGTTTACATAGGTGCATTTTATGTTAATCAAAAAATTAGTGTACACAGTTTAAAAGCACTGTTATGATTGTTTTGAAATACATTTTAGAACTATCGTAGTATTTATTTTTAATTTGAAAAAGATTGGAAGAAATCTTCGACGAAGATTCCTAACGGTTTTCTTGCACTTGCACAAAAACATAATAATAATAGTAATAATATACATCATCATACTAACCATTGCTTGTGCGTCCGTCTGAACAGCGACCGCACATCGCAGGGCGCAAGATAAGAACAGGACCAGCGAGCTCATCAACGCGATACAAGATTTACAGGTCGCCATGATGGTCGTGCGTGGTGCGGCGTTAAATTATTTTATAAAAATACAGTTTCGTGCGTTTTCGCGAACTTCTCTGCTATTGGAATTTTCGCGAAATTTCGAATATGATATCGATAATATAAAATATAATTGTCACGTGTTAACCTCTACGCTCGATTCGACAGGAAATACAAATTTTCAAGCGTCGAAACGATCGATCTCGGGAACGAAAAAAAAATCACGGTTTACGTGCTAGTTTTCGTGTGGGACTCGCGTCGACTAAACAATTTTTTTTTTAAATAAAAAACTAAGAAAACGGCGGGCGATCCCCGAGTGCCTGCGAGGTTCGTCACGACTCTGCAGCCGATTCACGCTGTCGGCCGCCTATTATATCGGTCTCCCACACCACCGGGCAAAACGCGTTTTGCACAAGCTGTGACGGGACGGGCGGGAGGGCGAGCGGTTGGGTTTTGGTACCTGCCTATATACCACACATATGTACCTACCAACCTATATATTACACGTTATCCGTGATTTTTCCCCGTGACACTCTCTCGACGATTATAATTAGAACAATATTTGCTGTGTAGATTTTGTTATGATTTTTTTGTTCGCCGGGATACCCAAGTACGCAGGTCAGACGCAGGTTTGGACACGACGAATGGTGTACCGGCGTGTACGGAATCTTTTGGTTTTGTATAAAAAAATATTTTCATTTTGAATTGTCACAAACGAGTGGCTTCTTCCATCAATGTTTTTTTTTCTTTCTTTCCACGCTATGTACCTATTTAATTTAACAAAATAACATATTCTTATTGTACAATTTTTTGTACGGATAGTTTACCTCAATACATAAATTTTAAAAAATTTAAAAAATTGTGTGGCAATTAAAAATATGAGCATTTAAAAAAAAAGAATTAAGCCCAACACACACGAAAGTGATGTGAAGAAGAATTAAAACTAATATGTACCTACATATTTTGTTTGTAGAGTTATAGTATTATGAGAAATACCTACTTTAACCCTTTAAAAATAATAAATAAGTAGGTGACTGAAAATATCACTAAACTACACTAATTTTCAGGTTTGAAATTTTCCCGAATATATTTCGAGTCGTCTAGCTTCCGGGTGCTGAATTTCTGTCAACCAATTTAAGGATATGGTTTAGATTATACGTCAACAATACTTCATATCCTTTTGTATATTATTCATGAGTCGTTTAAATGTTTAAAAGGAAAATAAAAATGTTAAACTAAAACCTTAGTCATGATAGACTGTCTAGTGGAAATTAGCTCGTTTATTCTAGAGACGTCTATTTTTTAAACACTGATAAATAATCATTTCTTTCAGACACAAAAGACTGTTTTGCTATTCATATTATAGAACAACCATGTCATTAATCATTGTTCTAAATAATAATAACAGTATTTTATTATTATACATTACGATATCATATTGATAAGTACTTCTATCTTTTTGAAAGGTATTCTAAAGAACTTTTCTTGATAAATTAACTTTGATTTTGGTCTAGGTCCCACGAGTACCTAGTATTGTCTGCTACTTTAAAAATTGTCCATGGATAAAATAGTGTTTTACTTTTGGGTCAAATCGGTTTTATATTTGTTGTTTCATTTCGTTCAGAATTGCTGATATATACTATACGTCAGACATCTGTATAATAATCTATGTATAAATTTTGTTACATACCTATATATGTTATATATTCTATAGACATCCTATATATCATATATTATATGCTGTAAAGTATACTATAGCAATTTTCAAAATACCTTCTTAAATATTCTACCGCCTCCTACTATATTCAAAAATCTGTCATAAGGTCCCAATAAATTTGTTTTCCTAGAGACCACTATAAATCTTATTGTCAATCGTAGTATTGACTAGCTTCTTATGTTGATCTTTTCTAAACTATTCACCAGGTATTGATTATATTTAATTTAGCTACAAATCCATTTAACAAAAGTAGCAGTACAGCTATCACAAATGTTCACCACTCAACTTAAGCCAGTGAGATCCCTGACGCATACCAGGAGCTTGTAATTTTGGCAAACAGTATTATCAACACGTTCCAAAAATTAGCTATACTTACCTACTCGTATGTATATTGTTGAGATGAAACTGGTCGAAAATCATTTAGACATTTTCCAAATCAATTTTTTCCTGTACATATATGTTAGGTTGAAAACCCTAATGAGAGAAACGCTATCCGCCTATACTTATACCGTCAAACCTTTGACTGTACCCACAAATTCTACTGACAAGCACTACAAAACTTCAAAGATGATAAGCAGCCGATTGCCATCATAAACCTCTTGAGTCTCCAGAATATGAGTAATGAGGACATTGTGTCGGTAATCACAGAGCTAATTGCATGGGTTTTAATGTTTTAAATATGAAATTAAAATTAAGAATTAAAATCTTCCAGGGAGTCATAAAAACACCACCAAATACAACAATTCGGACAAGACTTTTCATACTTTCAACACATTACAAGCCATGAGACTATCGGTGTTCAGAATTCAAGTTGCATGGCTGTTGTGACGTACCTAAATTCATTTAACATTTTCTAGTCGATTCCTACCTCTCCTATTTCTTAAAAAATTAAAAACCACTGATGTCCTCTTAACTCCTGAGTTCCCTCCCTAGCTCTATCATCAAATGTCTTAATATTTATTAAATATAAGTAAGTTCTTCTTAATTTTTGAAAAACTGTAGAGTTAACACATTTCGTATTCTATGGCCTTAATATATTGCATTAAAAAATTACCTATAGCTATATAAAAAATTAACCTATTTATAATTGTTTTTATAAATCGATTCCTAAGAAAAAAGGTGGTATAAAACCCAACAATAAATAATAATATCGATTAGTAACTGATAACTCTAAAAGGTTATAATCAATACAAATTCCATATTTTTATTAGACTGTATTATTATTATTATACAAATAATTAATAAATATGATTATAAAAAACGAATAGATAAAAAGAAAATTAAAGATATAAATTATGCTCATGATTTAGTCACAGAAAGAATTCACCCAGAATAAACTGTATAACTCATAATAAGAAAAAACAAATCTAGGAGCACCTGTTAAATTGCAAAAACAGTTAACAATTAATATTATACTATAATACATGTAAAAAAACAAGCCAATGGTCACGCTATCGAGATTTTTTCTTTAATAAAAAAAATAAAATATGTAATATTATAATTATATTATTTTGTCTGAGTATATTATAATTTTAGCACCAAAAAATAATATTAGAACATAATTATTTTAAAGCATTATCATTATTGTTAACATTTAATTAACATTTTTTTTTTAAGGTATTTTTGTGTTAAATTTTTCTCAATATTAAATTGTAAACCATCTAAATAAGCCTCAACTTAATAACATCATCATTTTCAGAAACATTTTAATGATTTCTATAGTTGAAAAAACCAAATATTTAAATGTACGTTGCTTATTTTTGAGTAATTATAAAACCTTTATATGTTATTTATATATATTACAAATAGAAAGTATATCGTTTGTAAAAATACTACTTATATTATCGGTTAACTAACTTAAATTATAAATACAATAACTGCATACGAAACCTATACCAAAATTGCATTATTAACTACCTAATGTTATCAAATTTTGTACGATAACCTTTTTAATTACTTATAAGTTATAACTTGTGTATTCAAAATTTCAAAAAAGCCAGTTCAAAATAAACTCTTCAACGACATACATTTTATTATATATAATAGAATTTTATAAGTTTATTTCTATCATAGAATATTGCAAAAAGCAAAACAGTTATGAAAATAAATATGCGATTGAAAATGCTATACCTAAAACACAAGCAAATGAAAAAAAATATAACTTAATCTTTTTAATTACATTTTTTCTACAGAAGTAGGTTCTGCTTCAGCAACTATTCAATATAAAGAGTATAATATGAATAATGTCAACAGTGTCATTATATGATATCAAATGTTTTAAATTATACTCTTATATGTATACTGTATAAGTAAAAAACATTCTTGATTGTTCACTCTATAGGAAATGTCGAACTTTTCAAACTCCTTAAAGTAACACTTTAAGTTTTTGTACAAAACAACTCAATACTATGACTGTATGTATTTCTCCATTTCGCAACACGTTTTTTTACGTTACTTATAACAATACGCAATTATCTGTATAATATACTAAATAATAATATGTAAAGCGTCACAAAAGGTTTGGGATATTTTTTTATTCGGTGGCAGGAATTATAATAATATGAACTATATAATACACGTACACCCACTGAAATAAAAAAAAAAACCAAACACTGCGGGATCACTGTATAATAAATAAACTCGTAATTAAAATTAAAATTTTACGGACTATTAATTATTAATATTAAGCATTCAACGTTGGTTAAAGAAACCACGTGCGTATTATGTAGGTATTAATTTTATAGTAAAAGTCACTGTAAAAGTAAACTGTTTTGAAATATACGTACGAATCGTTTCTGACCTAATTCTTGAAACCATTGACCCACCCTAGCTGGGTCTTATCCACCTATTCCGAAACTCAGATTTACATCAGGATACTGTCTCTCATAAGTCTTTAATTGATGTAGCGATGAACTAATTGAATTCTAGACGCAAATGCTTCCATTTCGAATAGCAAGTAACAAAAGGTCCTTTCAAAATGACAAATCGTATTTATCTTAAGCGCGAAATGCATAATGTAGTTAGACGATGAGTTGGTGTTTTTTACCAAATGTTTTGGGAATAATTTGCTTTTATCAGTTGGCATAACTAAAATTTAAGCACAATATGGACTCTGTGCAATTTGATGGATTTATGGTGGAGACGCATACGTTGAAAATAAAAGAGATCAGCCGCCATCTAGAATAGCCCCATTGTCTATTCTCTTTTAATACATTTCTACACTAAATGTTTAAGTTTTAAAATAATTAAATAATGTGACTTTACAAATAAAAAATCTCAAGTTCAAACTA